GGAGGGAAAAAACAGTGCAAAATCAAATTGTCTATTTTTTTTTTTGGTGGGGGTGTGCGTGTGTTTGGGAGTGCCCTGGCGCCCTTGGACAGGGTATCCTGCGGCGAGGGGTCGGGCGGGCACCGAAGGGCAGGCCACCCCGCAGGGAGGGGAGTTACCCCGGCCCCCACTGACCGCAAATTCATCGCTCTAGCCCCTCTCCAGGCAGAGCTCCACTTTGAACTGTGTATTTTAAGCGTAGTTTATAACAATTTGTGGAGGAATCCATAGAACTTCCCCTCCTGTTTTCCCTTCTTGCTCCCAGAATGGGATCGCGCTGAATTTATAGGACATTGCTTCACCCTCGCGATGGTCTTCAGTTCTCTGTTTGTTTGCCTGTTTTTTTTTTCTTTTTTATTTATTTTTTTTCCTACTGTAGCCAATGTCTGTAGCCTGCTGGGGTTTTAATGTGGTGGCTGGTGCTCGTGTGTGTGTGGAGGGGAGTGGCCAGCAAGTCATGTTTGCGATGAATTAAATGGCAAGAGGAGGATCTGGGCTGAAACGGCGTCTTTTGGAGCCAGCCCTTTCCCCGGGAAGCGGTGCCTCGTGCGCGGCCCCCGCCCCACAGCCCGCGGGGCGCTGCAGGCAGCCGGGGGAGGCCGGGAGCGAGGGCAGCCCCTCCTCGCCGGCCGCAGGGACCATCGGGGTCAAACCGGGGGGCATCGGGGACCCCCCTCAGTTCCCTCTTCCAGCAGGGCTGTTAGGGACGGGCAGCCCCGAGGCGGGAGGGTCGCAGACCCCCAGCCGGGGAGCTGCGGTACGCAAGGGTGCATTTCTGTGCGGGGGCACATGGGACGAGTTTAGGGGGCCCACGGCGCGGCCCACGCATCCTACAGCACCCGTGTCACGCAGGCTGTAATTCACCGCGTCCGGCCTCCGCAGAGTTTTGTTGCTGATTTTTGTCGTTATTGTCAGTCGAGTGCCCCCTCCACCCCCCCCAGCAGAGTCCCGGGGGGTATGAGGGCAGAGGGATACCCTCCTGTGCTCCACTGTACTCCTCCACACCGTGGCCGTGCGGTGCTGGTGCCCGCGTGGCGTTGGGTTTGTGGGATGATGCTTCGGGGGGACGCTGCTGTGCCTTCCGTGCCTTTCTGTATTGCAAATATTTTTACTTTTTATTTTCCCCTCATTTTGCACGGTATTTACCAAGTGATCTCTAGAAAAAGATATTCAAAAATATTAATAAAATAAAATATAAAGGAAGCGCGTGTGAGAACTGCAACGTGCCTGCCGCTTCGAGGTGGAATTCTCTAACAAAGGACAGAAGCAAGCGCTGCATTTTGAAACACCCTTCCCTCCTCCTCCTCCTCTTCCTCCCCCCCTCCCCCAAAAAAAAGCACAAAAATAAGAATCCAAAACGCCCTTAATGCAGGGGCACAGAAAAAAAAATGCATTATTAAAAAAAGAAATAGCACGGGTCGGGCCAGAGCCACGTGCATGCTGCTGCCCCGGGGCTGCCCCGGCGCCCCCCACGCCGCGGCCGGGGGGCGCGGGGCGGCGGCGCTGACCTGTGCCCTGTGCCTGCCCCGCAGCGCACCTGGTGCAGGCGGTGAGAGCGGCGGGGCGGTGCGATGCGGTCTTTAGGGGCTTCTCGGACTGTTTGCTGCGGCTGGGCGATAACATGGCCAACTACCCGCAGGACCTGGACGACAAGAGAAACCTCCAAACGATCTGCGCGTAGGTCTCGCCTTTTTCCTTCTCTGGGGGCGAGGGTCGCGCGAGGCGGGGAGTCGCCACCGCGGTCGGGAGGGGTAAAGTGCATGGTGCCGTGGGCAGGGAAGGGACAGAAATAACGCAGGGTTTGATGCTGAGAAGTTGGCTTCTCTGCTTCGGCCTCCCTCCAAAGGCACTGCCATGCGTAAGGGCCAAGCTCGGGCAGTAGTGAAGTCTAGCGGGATTGTTTTTTTCTTTTCTTTTTTTTTTTTTTTTTCTTAGTAAAGTGATTTTTATTCCTCCTTTTTTTAAACTCCTCATTTTTATTTCTCCCCCTCTCCCTGTTTGCACCTGAGATCTTGGTAGCGGCTGCTGCGGGTGGGAGGCGGGGCTGTCGTTATTGCTCTTCCTGCGGCCTTTTGATCCCCCATTGCTGGGGATGCTCTGGGGGTGACTCCCGATGGTGACACTCGAGTCACCCCGCCCGAGGCCTCCCCGGGACTGGAGAGACTCTTCCCTCCAAAACAAACTTAAAACAAAAGGATCACGGCCGCTATAACCACCGCTCCGCGACATAGGGACACCCAGCTTATTTATCTGTATTTATGTTCAGTTCTAACTCTCCCCCATCCCCCATCTCCCCTAAATGCCCCTCGGGCCGGGGGAGTGGGGAGGGAGCACCCTTTCCACGCGGATCTCCCTTCCTCAGCGCCAGAAAAGCTCGTTTCGCCAGAGTTTCGCATAACAAATCTTGCGGAGAAGCCGCAGTTCTGCTCCTGGCAGAGACAGGAGGAATGGAAAAGAGGACGACAACAAACAACAACAACAAAAAAAAACCAAATGAAATAAAATAGCAAGTAGAAAGCAAATAAATGGCAAATAAATGGCAAATAAAGTGGCAAATAAAATAAAATAAGATAATCGCCTTAAAGAATCGCGTGTCCCCCTCTGCAATTCCTCTAAGAAGCTCGAGCACAGCGAGAGTGCTGGAAGAGCCCTAGTGCTGAGTGGTTTCCTTGCCCGCAGAGCTCAAGAATGGAGGGAAATTCGGGGCAGGTGTCGCCAGGGAGGGAGGGGGGCCCTAACTCCGGCCTCCGCTTACCCCGCACCGGGGTCTTGCTGCCAGCGCAAGGAGGCAGAAAAAGGCGTTTTCTTTACTTTTGGAAGAAATCTGGCTTAACAGGGTAATTACCCTCTTGCGCATTTGCTGTTTTCCCGGTACAAACTCACCTCGCCGAGGGAAAAGAAAAAAAAATACAGTCATATTTAGAAACGAGATAAGGTCATTCGGCACAAACCTGTTTAAAATAGTGTTTCTATTTTGACTCTGCCGAAGTCAGAGAACAAAGGCCGTGAAATAGAACTAGAATGAGAAGAGGAAAAGAAAGGAAAGGAAAGGAAAGGAAAGGAAAGGAAAGGAAAGGAAAGGAAAGGAAAGGAAAGGAAAGGAAAGGAAAGGAAAGGAAAGGAAAGGAAAGNAGGAAAGGAAAGGAAAGGAAAGGAAAGGAAAGGAAAGGAAAGGAAAGGAAAGGAAAGGAAAGGAAAGGAAAGGAAAGGAAAGGAAAGGAAAGGAAGAGAGGAGAAATAAAAGTCTAGAACTCTTCTCTCTTCCTACCCGCAGATTTCTGAGCCAAACTCATCTTTTTCAACTCCTACGAAGGCTAGCACCTCGCTTTAAATTCTGGGATGAGTTTTACTTCGTATCCTGCACAAGGAGCAAATATGGAATAAATGAACCTTCGGGGACTGCAAAGTCCCTGATGCCCTGGCGTTTTGGACCGCAGGTGGTACCGAGGTGCAGAAATTACCTTTCCCAAGCAAGACCACCTCCCACGGCCCCATTTGCCTTCGCCCACTGCCGGGATGTATACTGAAAGAAGATGGGGGAAGATTTAATTTTCCTTTGGGAGATGCAATTACAGCAGAAATACTGCAGGAGAGGCACGCACTCAGACTCCTGGCTTCTCTGTATCTCATTATTTATTACAAATGTAGCAAACATTGGAGTCTACCACCAGCTAAGAGTGCTCATAAATTAGAGGCTGTAGGAATGCTTAAAAAAATAGAAACAGCAAACGAATAGAAAAATAAATTCAAAATCTAAAATAGCAGGAGCCTGCCGGAGAACTAGGGAGGCTAGGATCCTTAGGATCCAGGATGATTTTAGATAACCCAAACTTGAAGAGGAAAGGTCTGTCTGTCCCATCCAGATGACACCTTTCAAAACCTTTCAAGTTCTTTTTTTTTTTTTTTTTTTTTTTTTTTTTTTGTCTTCAACCCCTTATCAGATCCACGTTAGAATGAGAATTTAAATAAATAAATAAGTAAGTAAATAAATAAATAAGTGGAGGAGATCATCCTGGGGAATGAGAAACCCTTCACTGCCCCAGACTCGTGGCAACGGACTGATGCATCAGGAGTCCCAGTGGGGAAGCTCTATCCTCCTCTTCCTCGCCCCTGCTCCTCTCCCCCTGCACCGGGAACTGCGCCGGGACTTTTGCTGGAGGCAGCGGCGGCCTGGGACTGTCACCTAGACGGGGAAAAGCAATTTTTGCGGCAGCCCAGTCCGGTCCCGGGGGCACAGAGGGTACCTAGGTAACCCCCACTTCATCCCCCCCCAGACCCCACATGCAGCGACTCCCTCCCGGAGAGGGGAGCAGGGCAGAGCTGCTGTGGGGCAGCCCGCAGAAGGCGGAGGATCGAGACTCTGGGTGAATCTCGGGGCGGGGGGGGCTATTTTTTAGGCCGAGGAGGCACTAGCTCCTCCCCGACGGGGTCTGCCCTGCGCGGGGGCCGCTCTGGACGGGGCGGCTCCGCAGGAGGCTGCGCGGGTGCCTCTTCTGACGCCGACTGCTCTCCCCTCTTGCAGGTACTGGGATGATTTCCACGCCTGCACCCTCACAGCTCTCACCGATTGCCAGGAAGGAGCGACAGACCTTTGGGAGAAATTGAGACGGGAGTCCAAAAACCTCGACTTCCAAGGCAGCTTATTTGAACTGTGCGGAGGCAGCCCCGGCTCGGCAGCGTCTCTCCTCCCGCCGGCTTTGCCCGTGTTCCTGGCGGCTCTGTGGGCCGCGCTAGTGACCTGGCTGCCTTTCTAGGGGGGCGACACTCTTACACTCACATCCTCTCCATGCGCCGGATCTATAGAGGAAATGTCCATCCGTTGCTTTGGGGACGTTGTGCTTATCTGTGGTTGATGATGATGGTGGTGGTGGCTGCTGATGGTGAAACACCCATGTAGGACTGTGGAAGCGTTTTTCTCTTTTTATTTATTGATTTATTTTTGTGTTTTATTTGCCAAATGTTACCAAACAGGCAGCGGCGCGCAGCCCAAATCGGACCTCAGCTTTACTATCGCTTCAAATCAAAAAATAGAAAAATAATGAAAATAACAGCTCGAGCCCTCGTTGTGCAAAAGAAATCTCAGGAACGGCTCTGGGCCACCTAGTGCTAACGTTGTAATCGGCCAGGGTAAAGCCTGGCAGGCCACGGGCTCCTCTAAAAATATGGCAGTGTGTGAGGTGAGAACAAAACAGCAGACAAAAAAAAAAAAAAAACGCACTGGCGATGAATCCAAGATAGATGTCCACGTGTGAAGCATATGGTGAATAATTCACAATCTCTCATCTTTCCTCCACAGTCGCTTGTTTTTGGTCATTCCACTGAAAAAAAATTAAAAAAATTATATTAAAAAAAAAAAAAGAATGTTTTGAGAGAAAGAAGTGGGAAACGAACAGTTAAAAAAAAAGAAAACAAGAAAAATAAAAAGAAAAATGAAAAATGAAGGAAGAGAAGAACGATGAAAAGACCTGTGTCTAAATGCCTGGAGGAGCGAAGGAATGCTGCTAACAGATCTGTGAGAGTTTACCTTTACATGCTTTTCGAAGGCATCTTTCCGAATTCACTGCCTTTATTTTTTCCCTCCTCTTTGTTTTACATGTTACACATAGCAGTAAAATACCTGAATATCCAACAGTAGAGATCACAAAAAGGGGGCTTAAATGTAAACCTAAAAATAATTAAAAAAGCAACAACAACAGCGTAATGATTTGGGGGGAAAAAAGAGCCTTGATTTTAAAAGAGAAAAAATAATTTAAAAATAAAAGTTTATTATAAAGGCAATTCAGCAAAAAAGAACAAAAAAAGATTTGCTACAAAGTATAGACAGAAGTATAAAATAAAAATTATTGTTTGAAATGAGGATGTCGTCATTTTTATGTAATACGCCTAGAGTATCTTGAAAAGGAGAGGGCTTTCGAGGCAAGGAGGGCTAAATCCAGAATTGATCCCTTGATGAATGTTGCTGTTTCAGTTCAAACAAGGACAGGGCTGCCGAGATGGTTAGTCTAAGCCTTCTTTTCTTTCTTTTTTTTTTTTTTTTTCCCTCCCTTTTTCTTTCTTAACAACATGCTATAAATTCACCCTCCTCGTCGTCTAAAAAATAAAAAATAAAAAAGGACAGAAAGAAATTGCAGAAATTGCCCCCGCCTCCCCGTCTCCGCGCGGACCCGCAGGAGGAGAGGCGGCCCCGTGCGGAGGCGCGGAGCGGGCGCGGAGCGGGCGCGGGTCCCGGTGGCGGGAGGAGCAACCACCATTAAGGAGCGGAGGAGGCTGCAGCGCTGGAGCCGGGGCGCAGAGCAGCCCTTTCATAATTAATAAGGCAGCTCAGAGGAGGGAGGCAAGGAGAAGGGAAGGGGGATGGTGGTATTGATTTGGCAGCAGAAGCTGCTCTAACCTCGGCTATTTATAGGCGCCCAATGCCTTTATAAAGAAATACACATCAAAGAGTAAACACGTCCTTTTTACCTATTAAAGCAAGAGCTCAGCTGGCGACTGGGAGCGGGGGGGGGGGGGGAGGGAGAGATGGGAAGGCAGGGGCTGAGAATTTAGAGAATTCTAAATTTTAGAGAATTTATTCTGGAGGGAGACCTTGCCTTTGCTGTGCTCCCCGCTTTGCCAGTGTGGAGGGTGGCGGATCTCTCTCTTCTTCGCCCCTTCTCCACTTCTTTCCCAAGGTCCGCAATGTAATGGGTAAGCAATAGCAAATGTAGCAGTTCATAAATCAAACAGTGGGTCGCAAGCCAATCTGCATTTCCCAAACGGATTGAATCCCAGCAACAAATGCGCTCAGAAACTGGAGCCAGGCGTCTGTACCACTGGAAGCAATGTTGATTTTTTAATGATAAAATACATTATGTGTGTGTTGAGGTGGGGGGTGGGGAATTTTGCAGAGCTCAGTCTCGCTTTGCTAGACCCAGGTCTGCTTGCATTTCGTTTTTGTTCGCCCTCCCTCTAGATTTAATCCCCACCACCAACGAAAAGAGAAAACCCTGGAGAGCAGAGCTTTGTTTAAATGGTTTGGGTTATTTTCCCTCCCCACAGAGGATCTAGACCTAAATTGATTTTTTTTTCTCTCTGCTCATCTCTGCATTCATGAGGTCAGGCATTGCTGTTATGATTTCCTCCATCGCAAAGGCGAGAGCGATGCGAGCTGCACGGAGCTGACCACCCGTATTAGGAGGCAAGAGGTGTCGCAGTCCCCTTTGCCCCGCTCTGTCTCCGGGACAAAATTCGCCAGGTCGGTCTCGGGGGTCTCAGCCGGGCCCGGCGCCGTGTCCCTCCGGCCCCGGGCATCCCCCGGCGGAATGTTCCTGCTTCCAGGCTGGGAGCGCCTGTCGAGGGGGAGCGGGAGGTGAAGGGGACCTTCGTTTTTTTTTTCTCATCTCACCAAAGAAATGTCGAAAGTCGTTGATAAAGGGGGCGATTTCCAGCTCATTAGTGGATTCTAGGTATCATCGACTCAGGATGAATTACTCGTGGGCAATCTGTGTAATCAGCACATCCCCCAATTAGCCCTCCACTGAAGCGAGTGACAGAGCGGCCGCGGGACGGGGAAACAGCGCAGCGGGTCCGGGCCGGGGAGAGCCGGTGCCGGCGGGTGCCGGCGCCCGGGCCTCTTTCCTCCCCGACCTCCGATCTGCTCAGGGGGCAGCAGCCACCAGCTTGCAGGGCCAGGCTCTGGTTCAACGGAGCCTCCCGGGAAATCTCCCTCTCGGGACGCCTCGCAAGGGCGGCAGCTGCTCCTGCCCCACTGCCGGGTACCGCTCCCCAGGGCGCAGCCCGGGCATCCCCCACGAGCCGAGGCGCGACGGAGCATATGGTGCTCGCAGATCCACATGGTGCTCAAAAACTCACGTCGCAGCCTCGGGGTTTGGCGTGTGGCCGAGTTCGGCGGGCGAGGGGCTTTCCTCTCCGCCCGTGCCCAGACATATCGGCCGCGGACATCCCCCCATATCACACACGGAGGGCAGCAGAGCCACTGCCGTCGGGGCTCACCCCTGCTCCCGCTCGGCACCTCCGTACCGAGAGAAAGCCCGGGGAGCGGGTTGAGCCTGGGCGACTCTAGCCTGTGTGTCCCTCGAGCCGCCTTCGCCGTGTTCGGCAGTGGGGCTGCACCTGCAAGCGGAGACCCGGAGAGTCCCCGCACCGGGAGCTCGGTGTTTCCTTCGGGGAAAAGGACAAAATAAATAGCACCTTCCCTCTACCCTCCCCCGCCAACCCTGCTTCCCTCTGTTCATTATGTAAGAGCCTCTCAAAGCACAAGGCGCCAGTTATCCTCCTTTCTGCCCCTTTTGGATACTGTTCCTCAACCCTGAAAGCAATGGTCCTTTCTTCCTTCTTCTTCTCTCCCCTCTCCCTCCCCCCTTTTTTTTTCCTTTTATTTTTTCCTCTTTTTTCTTTCTTTTTTTTTTCTCTTTTTCTCTCTCTCTCTCTTTTTTTTTTTTTTTTTTTTTTCCCATACCAGGAATGATTGCTCTAACTTGCCTTGTTGGTGTGGAAATACCAGCTGTCCCCAGGGTGGGAGAAAGGGACTGGGCACATTCACTTTGCTTCCATTCGTCTGTCTGTGAGACCTTGCAAGTGATGGCCCGAGAGAAGAGCAGGGGCGGTTGGGGTTGCCCTTCCCATGCGGGTCTCGCTACCCCAGGCATCACCTGCCTTAGCAAAAGCTGCAGCGGGGTTTGGGTCTCCTAAGAGCCCTTAGCCTCTGGCCAAACCCAGCCTGGTGAACTGGGAGCAGCGGAGGAGGCGACAGGAAAGCATTTAAGTGTTGACAGAGCAAAATAGACACCCACTTAAAAAGAAACACAAATCAAAAACACAGACAAAGAAAAAAAGAAAATGCAGATTAATGGAAAAAAAATACACAAACAAGCTGCAATAACAACTAAAAAACACATAGCCGAAACAAAAGACAGTGTGGTGCATTTCTAGCTGGCTGGATACTAAGTGAGGGCTGCAGCTCTGCTCGCCCTAATTCTCCTCCCCAGCTCAGACTGAGCAGCCGCAGCCCCGCAGTCCCCGCGGGCCGCAGAGAAGCTGCCTCCTCGCTCCCCTGCACGCAGCCGGAGCCCGCGCTTGGCAGTCGGCTGCTCCCTGACAGCCTCCACCTTTTAACCATCTGGCTCAGCTCCGAAGGGGGTTCTGCCTCCCTCTCCCCACCCAGGCCACTCTCAGACAAGACTGAGCCAGTGTTGGGCTGAGATGGTGGCGATGACGGCTCTTTCTTTTTCTTTCTTTTTTTTTTTTTCTTTTTTTTTTTCTTTTTTTCTCTAAAGGAAAAAAAGAAAACATCCCTTTTCCATCTGCTCCTGTTCAAAGGCTGTGAAAGTGAGATGGACTGGGCTCTGTCTGTGGAAAAAAAAAAAAAAAAAAACTGCAGGCGGACACACAACCCACAGAAAAAGCTGCCCAGATGGTGGCAAGGGCAAACGGGTTGGTCCTTATGGAGGGAGCAAGAAGAAGTGATATAAAATAGAGCAGTATCTTCAGTGTCCTTTTCTCACAGGATTTCAGCAGGCTGTATCTATGTCCCAGGAGAAGCGGCAGAGCTCTGTTGGGCTGGCTGGTCCACACAGGCTAGGGACTGGTGAGTCCCCCAGTCCCCTTCCCTTCCAGTGCCCCTGCCCAGCAAAAAAAAAAAGTGAGATCTGTGAAGGGCTGATGACCTAAGGAGACAGAGGCCAATTCAGGCTTCCAATTCATTATAGGATTCATTAATAATTACTATCATTAGATGTATTACTGCAGCGCCCAAAGGCCCCAGTTAAAGGAAAACGGGCTTGTTATATCCGGGAAGCCAGCTTCCCACCTCTGTTCCTCCTGCTTAGTGCTGAGGTGGTGCCTCCTGGGTGGGTAGCAGGGACAGTGAGAGGCGAGTAGCTTTGACTTTCTAGGTATGCATCCTTCTTCCCTTCTCACTCCCTCCTCCTCCATCTTTTCCCTCTCCTCTTGCCTTAGTTGTAGATCCTGCTCACAGGCATCTGGAGAATGAGGTGTGTACAGGAGGTAGCTAGCAGGACTGGCTTGAGGAGCTGGCAGATCGGTTTATTCTTCAGAGGCAGTTTATTCTTTGTCGCAGGGCAAAGGAATACTTTTTATGGGGCAAAATGATGGGGATTGCAGAGGAGTCTTTGTTACAAAACCAGAGGTAATTTTAGCTGCCCAAAAAAGGGCTAGTGGCAGCTGATGATGAATGGTGCTACTGGCAAATCTGCTTGCAGCAGACTGTCGTGGCTCCTGAAGGACAGTTTCAACCCAAGGC